TTTTCCTTCTAAACAAATGTCAGATGCCCTCTATTTAAAATAGCATAGGCGCAAGGGCTACTTATTGTGCATCTAAAATGCCTGATGGGGATTGACACACCAGATGCTGGCAAAAACCCAACCAAAGAAGGTACAAGTTCAAGAGAAAAGGACTGTGTGAGCCAAAAAGTCCATAAAAATACAGTACCTCAAATTTTGGGATATGAATAACTTAACCAGGTAAGCCTAAAACAGAAAATTCAATACAAATTTTGGAATAAAAAACCATGCCCTAGGTTTGTACATAGACCGTCTAATTTTTTGAGGATCGATCTAGGTGTTTTTGGTAAAGAAAAAGCAAAACTCATTTGATGATTCTAAAGTAGTGTCGTTAGATTTGCTTTAGAACCTTCTTTGGTTTGGTGGGAGGCTTCGGAGCTTTTTTTGGTTTGGTGGGAAAAATGAAGCAATTCGATGCTTTGGCCAATTCAGAGGAAAGCTTCAGATTTCAAAGAAATTGTAATATATATTTACATATAAATATATATTATAATAATAAAATTTTAGAAATATTTTTTTTTTTTAAAAAAAGAAACAATTTTGTGCATCAACCGAAGATTTTAAATTAGACTGAATCTTTAGCATCTTTTTTAAATACAATTATGTATTTTGTGCTCCGGCCAAAGATACTAAAGATTTAGTCAAAGAGGTCGAAGCGGTCCAAAGCAGGCCGAAGCTGATGTAACGGGCTTCGTTATGCTTCAGTTTAGGCTAAAAATGTGAATTGTATAGAACAATGATTTCATGCAACAGTTGTATAGTAATATGATGCAACAACCTATAAAACCTTGTTACAACCATTTGTTTGATCCAAATTCTGAAATATACACTCTTTTCATTCTAATAAAAAATCACAAAAAAAAAAAGAAAAATTGAAAACACAGCTTAGAAAGTATTTTTTTAGCCCAATTAATATAGGCAGTTCATTTTGGTGAGATGCTTAGATCTATGCCTTGGAAGGATTTTTTCATTTCCAATTTTTTTTGGATGGCTTTATTATCATTAGATGAACAATGTTAAAAAAGAAAAAAATGATTTTGAGTTTATAAAGGCTAGGATCTTAAAATTCACCAAATGAATGGTCTAGATTCGTTTTTGGAGGGGCCTCATTTTGATCATATCTAAGGTTCAAATTGATTTTTTTTCGTTGGGATTTGATTATTGGGATGAAGAGAGTGTGTGTGAAAAATTTTAGGTCATATAAATATCACAAACATGATTTTCTAAAAGTGTCGTTGTATTATACTATAATACAACCGTTGTATGAAATCATTGCTCAATTGTATAACATTGTTCTAAAGTGAATTTGAAGAATTTACATCAAATATATGCCCTGAATGCAAAAGATCTCTCCCTAGAGCAGTGGAAAATACGCATAAAAGTTACCCCAAGATTTAAGCCAAAAGAGTATCTGCTCTTGGATACATACCTTAGATTCCCTCACTTGTGCTTCTCAAGATCCCCAGTTTGAGCTAATTTCCTCCAACTGGTGATCAATCTCTAAAAGAAAAGAATGTAACATGCTAAGATTGCATAATGACCGTGCATTTTTCAAAGTGTGAGATCTAAGTATTTAGGAGCTCAAAGTTTTAGTTTCTACTTCTTTAAAAAAAAGGAAACAATTTATAAAAAGTTACGGCTCAAAAATTCAGTAGAAAAGAGTGTTTCAAAGTTGAACAACTTTCTAATCGATCATCTTAAGCTCGAAATGTATGGTATAAAGAAGAGAAAGATTATCAAGTCCTAAAAACAGTTCATATTGTAACAAGTTACATAGACGTCTAGTTTCAAGATTTTAAATTTCATAATTAATGAGCATGGATTTTCAACCTTGAAACCAAGAACTGCATCTTCTGGCAAATTTAAAGTTGGCAACTTATACAAATCTCATTGTAGGTCTTTTGCCTAATGAGATAAATTTATAGGGTGCTCCAGTTAGGAGGGCATATAATTAGGAGGAGTCTGAACTTTTTAAAGCTTTAAATAAGGGTAGTGATTTCATGTAATGGTTCTATAGTAACCTAATGAAATAATGGTTCTATGTTAAGGCCATTTTTTTTAACCCAGTTTTAAAATATATACTTTTTATTCTAATGAGTAATCACACAAAGGCTAAATTTAAAAAACACATCCTAAAGTGTTTTTTAGCCCACTTAATATAGGTTGTCTATTTAAGTGAGATGCTTAAATTCAGGCTTTAGAACGATTTTATTCTTTCCAAACTTTTTTTAGATAACTCTATTATCATTAGATTAGCGGTATTAAAAAAAATGATTTTGAATTTGTAGAGTCCTAGATCTTGAAATTCACCAAATTGATGGCTAGATTCATTGTTAGAAGGAACTTATTTTGACTATACATAAACTGCAATTGAATTTTATTTTTCTAGAAGATTATTGTGGTGAAGAGATTGTTTGGCTAAATTTTTAAGTCATACAAATATCACAAACAAAATTTTGTGGTTTCATTATAAAATTATAATAACAAGGTGACATGAAATTATTCCCCTTTAAACAATGTTCAACATCTATTGATTGATAATCCAGTTATTTTTGCTCTGAATTTCCTCATTTTCAGACTCTTAAACAACCCATGTGAGAAAATACATGAGAAAAACTAATTCCATTTATTTAAGGCAAAAAAAAATGAAAAGGTCAAATAAAATTCGAAAAAGTACAAAAAAAAAACCGGCATCTCATGCAATACAGCCTAGACATGTCCAACTGTCCACGTGCTCTTGGCTGGAATGATCCTTCTAGTGTTGCTGTGAAGTGACAAATTTACCAGAATAGCCCCACTGCTCAAAAGTAATAACAAAAATAACCTTCTAACTCGAATCAAATTATTAGAACTTCCTAACTTCAATAAACATCATCCCCAAGATATCAAAGTACAGGTTCATAAAGGCCTTCCAAATAAAATAACCAAACCACCTCAAAACAAATCAGGGAAACAACTAATTACTTTTTAAAAATGATTTTTGTAGTTTAAAAATGATTTTTACCACATATCTCTCCAGTTATTATGCTAAAAAAAGTGCCCTAATTGTAGTGTTCTAAGTTTGAAACCTTGAAAAAAGGCATCATTGTAACTCAGCAACTTACGTTATTTGAGTCAAATGATCTAAAATATTTGTTTCAGGTATGAAGTCCGAGAGCACATGTGGGTTTTGTACTTTTTATGTTATTACCTTGGAGGATTTTAAAATTCAGTAAGAAAAAGATTACCAAAATGCCTCTGCTTGTTCAATATTTCAAACTTTGAACAAAATTTTTTTTATGATGAAAACCGTGTATCAACTTTGTTATTTGGATACTTAAGGGTATTTAAGTCATTTAGTCAAATGACTCAACTAAGTCAAATTACCAAAATACTTTCATTTGGAATAAAAAATCAAAATAATGATAATTGGGGTATTTTTAGTAAAAATTTAAGGGAGTACCTAAGAAAAAGAATTTCTAAAAGTAACTATTTGTTGATAAATTGTTTTTAATTTTTGGTGATTTGCCATTTTAATAAAAAATTTCTTCTCTTTATGGCCAAGCAAATTGAGCATTTATAATTGACCAATTTATAATTCTATTTACCCATACAACTAATAGATGAAGGATTTTCGATGAGTCGGGGTGGACTCGTACGTAGAAATGCACGCCGTCTTAAATAGTGTATTTTTTAAAAGGACTTTAGCCTTAATTTTTAAGGACTATTATCATCGTCATCGCCATCGTCAGAGTTTTTTTTCAATTAATTGGGATTGATTAATTCATTCAATTAATTGGGATTGATTAATTCATAATAAGTTTTGATAAAATTTTATGTACCTACCCAACCTAACTCTTTTACTCAAACATAGGATGGGTTAAGAGAAAGTTTAAAATCTTAAATTCTAAAAACTATAACGGCTGTAAAGATATAGTTTAAGGTCCTAAATTTTTAAAGATTATATCTAAAAGGAAAATTGTTTCATGCGGGCTGGACCGCATGACTATATATGCAGTGCAAAAAGTGTAATGCATCTATCTTAAATATCGATGCAAGTAGGTTTTCCATCTGAAAATAATAGAAACTAACTGTCCCAATGTTTTCTTACTAAAATTATTATTTCTAGTTTTTAAAATTTATTCGTTTATTCATATTCATGATCTCTATGTCAAAGACTACATGTCCTTAAAAATTAAATAAAAAATCTATTTAAAAAATAAATTTATTAATGAGCCTGTATTTCTAAATATGCAGGCTTGGCCGCATAGAAACCTAATCCTATCTAAAAAGATATAGTTTCTCTGAGTCCCGGAGAATTGAAAAGGAAAAGGATTTAATCGCCCTAATTTCAAGGGCATCGAATCATAGCATCTAATTTCAAGGGTAGCAATGTCCACTCAAAAGTGTATATCATGTTAAATAGTTCTATAGAAGACCAATGTATATTGAAAGGTTTTACAGTTAAATTCAGCGTTTGGCCCCTATTTCAGAGTCAGAAGAATCCAATACCCATCACTCAGATTGGAGAAATGGGTTATCATTTGCACTCAAAACTGTGCTCATTTTTTCAGGCTTGCTTACTTCTCTCTCTAAAAATTGCTGTTACTTGTGGTGCTTATGAATTCAAAGTAGGAGGCTTACATGCTTGGGGAATACCCACAAAAGCAAATGCCCAGATCTACAACAACTGGTCCAAATCAAACAGATTCCACATTGGTGATTCACTATGTAAGTTTTTCTCTCATCAAAATCTTTCAACATGAAGTTGCTCTCTCATCAGATAACAGAACCACTATCCATTTTATCACAATCTTCAATGCGATTTGATGCCTCCATTATTTGGCTTTACATTCCAGTGTTCCTTGCTTTGAATCTACTTTTTGGGTGGTTTGATTTTCGACATTGGCTTCTCTCTTTCTCTTTCTAACTCTCTCTCTCTCTCTCAGTGTTTCTGTATCCCCCAAGTCAAGACTCAGTTATTCAAGTTGCAGAAGAAGCTTACAATGGCTGCAAAACTAGCGATCCAATTTTGGCCATGGACGATGGAAATTCTCTCTTCAATCTTACCAAACCTGGTAAGTACTTCTTCATCAGTGGAGTTGCAGGGCACTGTGAAAAATCTCAGAAGCTTGAAATCACAGTGTTTTCATCATATGGGGACTTTTACCCTCCTTCATCTGCTCCATCTGTGTTACCTAGTGCTTCTTCACCTTCTTATGCCACAGTTTTTGGGCCCATGCCCATGCCTTCTTCCAGTGAAAGGTCAAGGACTCATTTTTTGGCTTCAGTTATTGCTGGGATTGGAGCCATTAGCTCAGTTGCTTTTCTGAATCTGTTTTAGAGGAAAGAATCTATTGATAGTTTTCTTAAACTACTGTGTAATTCTTTTGTATGATTACAGTTCTACTGAGAGAGAGGGAGAGATTCTTTATTTGGAGTACAACAATGAAATTGTCATGCACTGTGCTCTTTGTATTTTTTTTTAGGCTGGAAACCTTTGTTGTTCCAATTATAGCAATAATGGAGTATGCTCTGATAACTGAACTCTATATTTGTAACCATTTGTTTTTACCATTAGTTAGTCAGACAGTGATAGCTTTCATACACTTATAGCTACTATAAATTGACAGTATGTCCGATCAAAAAAGTATACACAGGGGAATGATCTTGTGTATTTTCAATATAAATTGTAGTGTGCATGTAAATTATGGATTGTCCCCGTCTTAGATCTCATCTCATCTAATATATGCAAAACATGTTAACATTTAATGTATTAATATTTATATATGGTAGAGTCGTCAGCCTGCTAGTTGACTGCTTGGGTAAATGTTTAATGGTCCAGACTGAATCTGTGCCGATTCAATGGTCACAATTCTATTTCATGCTTGAATTTCAATATTTTTTTATAAATCCAATTTATTTGAAATTTTGATCATCTACTCTTGAAAAATGGGCAAACCTAATAAAAATATTTTAAAAATAATTTATAATTTTTTTACCAAAATACCTTTGATAATTTACAAAGGTATTTGGATCAATTTATTTTTTACAAGTAATTTTTTTAATATTTTATTATGTGCGCCTTGATGAGAAGAGTGGAAAATCCAAATTTTGAGTGATTTAAAGTTGTAAAAAAAATTAAATTTAAAATATAAAATATAATTATAAGAAAAGTGAAAAATCTAAATTTCGAGTGATTTAAATTTGTAAAAAAAATTAAATTTAAAATATAAAATACAATTATGACTATCATATGGCAACTAAGCTAATGGGCTGACATGATCATTTTATATATATATAGAAAACGTTTATATATTGATAGTGTGGTTTTTCATGAGGGAATACATTTTATGGATACAAAGTCACAATCATCTAACCATTTGGTAGAAATAAGAAAGCTAAAGGTTTGAAAATAATTCTCAAAAGCATACACAAACAACACCATAACATCAACCATTAGGATGATTGTGACCTAATAACAAAAATAAACGGTCTTTCAATCATAATTCCTTACAATGGCCCACCATCCCCTCCCACTCAATTCAAATTTGCTTTGCCTTTTCCTTTCTTTTTGTTGCAAGGAAAAGCAAATTAATTAAATGGGAATCGTGCCATGCATCCTTCGAAATAACATCTTTTCTTAGGAAATAATAATTGGGAATCAGCTTTTGGATCACTCAACTCTATTTAAGTAGCTAAAAATAGCATCTTTTCTTATGAAATAACAATTGGGAATCAGCTTTTGGATCATTCAACTCTATTACGCACCAAGAAACACATTAGCGAGTGTATCTTCCTAGGTCCCAACTAAAGGAAAAAGTATATATAAGATTTGTCACCTTAAAACGTAGAATTAAACTCCAATTCTACAATCCTTTGAAAATGGTTTGCTTTGATGTTGAAAAAACATCCAATTGATCATCTTGATATCAATGTACAGACATAAAAAAAAACAAGAAATTTCAAATACTAAAATAAGTACATCTTGCAACACATTATTTAGAGCGTCCATTTTCATTATTTTCATGCGTTTACAGATCTACTTCATTTGAACCACTTTTGGAGTTTAAAATTCTATAATTAGATATAAAAATATATTCTCACACCATCTTAAGATTTTTCAACATATCATGACAAAGTTTGGAGGTGCACTTACTTTGACTGTTTAAAGTTACAACCTCATGCACACCACATCCCCCGACTAAATGAGAGTGTGAGTAGATGACTATAAATCATGAAATGAAAAGAAAAGAAAAGAGGCAAACATTTATACCCCAATCACCACCACCTCCAGTAAACATATAGTATAGAAACTTTACAAAGCCAAATTCATTCTGCTATTCTATTCCAGAAATGGCTCACACCTCTTAGATACATCACATTCTCAGCGGATGAATGATCCTCAAGAGAACTGGAAAAATAAAATAAAACAAGAGTATGATCCTAAGAGAACTGGGAGAAATAAAATAAAATAAGAGAGAGAGAGAGAGAGAGAGAGAGAGAGAGAGAGAGAGAGAAGAAGAAGAGTAGTAGTATATAGTGTCGTTACTACTAACTAACTAACGTACGGTACGGTACCGTACCGTACCTTACCTTACCTACCCTAACCTA